TTCAACTATAGGTTGTTGTTGGAAATCGATGAATTTTATACAAGAATCATAGACTCGGCTTGTACATTCTAGTGTGGTGTTTACGAGTGTGTTTAACATGAAACAACTGTCAAATTCTGAACTTTCGTTTGGAAAAGTTGCTGTAAATTCATCGCAATCTTGGATTGCATATACTTTTTCTTCTCCTTGTATATCTGTTACTGCATATCCGAGTACGCCTTTATTCTTGGTTAGTGGATGGTCTTGTTGATTTTCAACTAAAATCGGGAGTTTGTATTCAGTTTGAACACAAATGGTATTAATGAAAATTAATCCAGTTTTACACGTGTCTTTGTGCGTAAGAAACGTAGTTCCTTTTTCAAAATATGTTTCGGCTGTATGTTTATACATGTGAGGAGCGGTGTGAGATATATAGGGGAACTTTAAGTCGGATTGTTTCTATTTTAGAAACATTCGGATATTCTTTATCATTGTTTATTAAGCCATATGAGATGACACTATCTTCGGATTTTAGTTCCACTGCAGGGATACAAAATAAAGGGCTTTAAGAAACAAATGACAAAGTCGATTCCTAATAGATTAACAGTGCATTCGTCTGTTATCCCTACTTTGTGGTTTGTAGGATACTTTCCGTCGATATCAAAGCATGAATCGATTGATGTATGGCCAAGCATAGAGATATCAGATCCGTTGTAAGTTTTGGCTTTACTTTGGGATTTAAAAAGAGTCATTTTTTGTCCAATTTTGTTTAATTCTCGATAAATTGGTTCATTTATGATGCTACAGGTTGATCCTGGGTTGACCATAAACTCAATTTCCAGTCCACTATTTTTATTTGTGTCTCCGGTGGCGAAATGATACAGATTGAGATAGATCCTTGCTTTTGTATTGCTATCTTCGGTGACTTGACTTCGGTGACTCGGCTTCGATGACTTTATTAGTTTAAAGGAAACATATCTGTCAGTGCATCACAGTAGTTAGTTTCTTCTTCTACTCAATGGGTATTTTCAATTTGATTTTGATTCATTCTGAACCCTGGTGTTCTTGATCTATCAGAATCACGACTATTTGTTCGGTTATATCCCTTTTGGTCATTTTGTCGACCTCTAGGATCACTGCTGGATTGACTATTGTCTTGGTCATAATGCTGTTTTGCAGCTTGTTCATTATCTCTGAAAGTTTTTTGTTTTGGGTATTTTTTGTCATGACTCATTTCGCCTGGGATTGGAATATTGTACGATGGCTGTTGATTATTTCTTGGATAACCGTTTTTTTTATAGTTATTACGGTAACGAATACCATATTTACTATGATTCTGGAAATTTGGAGTATTTCCAAAATTTCCCGATTGACCGCTTTGATTTGCAAAGTTGTTGTTTCTTGACTGATCGTTTTGATTGTAATTTCTTTGATTTGGGTTACCTTTATAGTCGGTCTCAAATGACACTTTTCTATCATTTTTTATTGTTAGTTCTTTGCGAAATTTATTTACTTCGTCCTGGAATTGTTTCTTAGAGCATCTAGAGATAGAATGATCGTTCATCCTACAATAATCACAAAAACGTGTTTTATTTGGTATGCCTTTTACATCCGGATCTCGGTGGCGAAAGGAATGTTGTTCATTTATGGCACTAACCTCTTGATTTTTAATCAATTTGGTTAACACTTTTATTTGCGTCTCCAGTGATGTCATTTTATCTGTCGATGTTTTGTTTGCAGGGTCAGTGGCGACGATGAAAGTTAAATCTTTTGTAATTATATGATTTTTAAACGTTTCCCATCCTGCGTTAGGATTCTCTATCATATATTCATGAGCTTTCTTAGTAAGGTTTTAGAAGTTTAACTGAGAAATCTATATACTTTTGAGTTCTTTGTCTCGTTTGTATATTTTTTTCCAAAGTCTGTGCAACGGCATCAGCATGAAAAGTAGTATCAATGCTTTCAGGCCAACCTTTGTCGACTGAGGTTTTAATCCTATGGAAGTAGTTTTTTATTAATTCGCCCTCTTGTCGAGTGGCATTTTCAGCATCAATTCGATGCTTAAATCGATCTCTACCATCAGTGAATCTTTTTAGGAAAAGCTTTTTTAGTTCAGCCCAAGTGGTAGCATTAGTTATTTCATCAGTACACCATTCAAGAGCTGTTTCTGTTCATAAAGATCCGAGCAAACTTTTTTGTCTGTGATCACAGTTAGGCTGAGCGCCAGCGTCTGTGGGTGGTTGCCCTAGTGAGAATACATTTTTATTCTCAACTGAATTCCAAAAGGCTTTTGCGTTTAGGTCTGAATCATTTCCCGAGAATGATACAAAAGACCAGTTAGGATGGGCGATTGGGTGATCGGCCATCTTACTTTTTTCAAGTTAAGATATCCAATTTGATCTTAAAAGTTTTGAAGTTTTGATAATTTTGAAATTTGATAATTTCAACTTTAGTAAAATTAGAAAATTTGAAATTTTGATAATTTCAACTTTTGAATTTTTGATATTTTCAACTTTTTGAAGTTTGATAATTTCAACTTTTGAAATTTTCAATTTTTTGAAATTTTGATAATTTCAAATTTTGAAATTTTGATAATTCCAAATTTTTGAAATTTGATGATTTCAACTTTTTGAAATTTTGATAAGCTCAGTTTTTTGAGATTTTGAACATTTTAATTGAGTGAATTTTTGAAACTTGTGTGCTTCACTGGTCGCACCAATTATTCCAAACTAACTTGACTTAACTTATTGCGATCGACCAAATCGCAGCTAGTTAGAACAAGGGGTCTTTCTGAATGTTGCTAAGACTTTTCTATTCTTATTCAACAGACAAAGTTTCTTTCACTCGTAAATAAGTTTATTATTTCAAGTATAGAGGACACACATCAACTGTATATCAAAGGAAATGGGGTATAGATTGATGGTTATAGTGATAGTTATCGAGATAGAGATTTGAGAAAGTTATGATTAGGATGGTTGTGAGTATGTTTTGGTATATTTTTGCTTGGCTTGTCTACCGTAGATTTTCATATTTTCAACATTCCATCTGTTGGTTAAACCAATCAGAAAGAGACAACATATGCTGGAATGTTTCCTTGTGGTGATAATTTATCAACCGAGCAAACACATAACTTCAAGCTATCATATGGTAAAAGTTTAAGAATTTTGTTTCTGATTTCAATTCAGAACATATGGTAAAAGTTTAAGAATTGTGTTTCTGATTTCAATACAGAACACCTGACAATTTTGTATTTAATTCCTGTTAGAGTACGGCCTGCATGTCCGTAACACTGAAGTATCTAGCCTGGAATTTTTCTGTGCCTGTCATTTTGAAATTATTGTTGAAATTTTTGTGAAATTATTGTGAAATCTGTTAACTGAAACGTAGCTTTGAGTAAGCGTACTTCAGGTCCAGTTTGGAGAACCATAGCTCTTCCTTGTCTGAAATCAAAGTCTCTTGCGCGTTACAGCTCATCCTTCTGTCTGTGTTTGGCCTTTGGTTTTAACTCTAGTTCATTGACAAGTTCAAGAGTGTCGAATCTAGAGCGAGTTGAATATAAATAATTGAAACGAATTTATTGTCCGGGACTTTATCCAGTTTTGTTATGTGACTTTTGATTTGAAGACATTGTTAACTTCATCTTGCAAATTGATAGGGATTCGACTACTTTATTATGCATGGCTGTCAATATTCAGTACAATTTCTATTGGATCGAGAAGTTAGTTACCAATCCGAACCAGGTGAACAACCACTTTTTTCGGGTCTAACTTCAATTCTAGACCACGCTCTTCTAAGTCTATTTCCAACATCTTACCAAAATCGCTAATCCCGTGAGTTTAAAATCTTGTGTCATCTGAAGCTCTAGTCTTCTAAAATTGTCGCGTCTCAGAATCGTCTTTAGTCCGTTGTCGATCACTTGTTTTTACGAATTCTTCACAAGCCACGCCGCGGATTTAAGGTCTGTAGTCAATGTATCTAAAACTTGTTTGACTCCGTGGTTAGACGTTTTCGCTGTTGGAGTATTTTGATCCGGGTCGCGAAAAGGTTTGTTGCATGTTTCCACAACAATAAAACCATTCACGTGGGAATAATATTGTCGGAACTTTCGTATCCATTATCCACAACTAATATAAAATCCAAGGCACCAATTTCATTTCTAATCTCTTGCCCTTAAATTCACTTATCTGTTGTAGCGCCTAATTCATCTTGATCCGACTCATTGGGTTTTATGCAACCGAACTTGTCTTCAGAAGACAGATTCGTGTACATTTGTAGATCCGCAATTGCTCTGTCGTATTCAACATTACAAGATAACTTGTCCATATCCGAACCTTAATTCCTAATTTGAATTAGGTTAACTCGACCTCTGTTTTCTTTTGTAACAGCTCATTCTCCACCGTGTTTCTTGTTTGGCTCATGTGGAAAAAATGATTATTTTCCCCAAAATTGCTAGAGTTTATCCGAAATTGCAATAAAATAAGCATTTTAGACTTAAATGTTTATAATTTAATGAGCACTTTGTTTCTTAGATTGACTTATTGCAAAGATTGTTCTGAGTGGTAACCCTATTCAATTGTTTTGTGGTTTTTCGTTAGAGGGTTGATATTAATCTCAGTGTTAGGAGAATAGCTTGAAAAACTGGTAGATATCAATTTTTTGTCAATTCGGTGAAAAAAATACATCATTCTAAAATTTCGATTCTTATTTGAATAGCTGATTTCAGATGTTTGCGCAGAGGCGGATATAGAAGGAGGGAGGGGGTTTCGACTCCCTGGTCACCCATTGGTTTTATTTTATAACATCGAGCACTATCGAACAGCCCTAAAGTTTATCTTAAGGTGCTGTTGCGCCAAAACACAACCAACATGAAGAAGCGCGCGCCGAAAATTGCTTTTTTTTTCATCAAAACTTTCAAAAACCTCATTATTTGCCTGCTTTTTTTTCACAAACTTGCCTGCATTGTAGAACTAATTTGTTAAATTTGAATCTTTATAATTTTTAAAAGAGCGTCTTTTAAAAATTTATTTGGGTGTCCAAGAAAATTAGAAAAATCCCAAATCCGCCCCTGCGTCTGTTTTTAATCCAGTTTCTCTCTCGCTCTCTCTCTCTCTCTCTCTCTCTCTCTTTCTATCCTTTTCTGGCCTCTGTGTTGGTAGCTGAATTGGCTGTGGCAGCAGCTGCTGTGAGGTACTTGTGCCAGAGCAGTTCCACCACAGCCGTGAAGAAAGACAGACCGGCACCCATGCCCAGAATATAAAAGACGCCTGCCACGTTTTTGATCGCAATGCCCTCCGCCTCTTTACCACTGCCAATTGAGTCATCGTCTGAAATGGAATTAGTCACATCCAGCTTTTCCGGAGGTAAATCAAACAGTCGAAGTATAAGCCAGCCGAAAAGTTACATCATATTAATGAGATTTGCATAACTTTCGTAGCTGTAACATAATTATAACCAGGGGGTGGATCTAGGATTTTCTCGAGGGGGGGGCGGATTTTCAAATAAATTTCGAAAATTTTGTCGACCTTTTTTGTAGGTCGACAAAATTGATTTTCTGAGCGCTTCTAAATCACTATAAAAACCCCATTTTGACCAAATTTTCTGCGCCACAGGCAAAATTAAAAAAAACAGGCCAAAAAAAAGAAGATTTCAGGCAATTTTTGAAAAAATTTGACCAAAAAATGCCTTTTTTTGGCGCGCGCTCCCCTCTAAAAATTAATATATATATATATTGGCGCCAAAGGCGTCTTTAAAAATTTTTTAGAGTCCGTCACCAAAAGCGATATCTCAAAAAAGTACGAAGGGGGACCCTTTGGGTCGGCAGGGGGTCAAATTCCTGAAGAACAATCCGCCCCTGATTATAGCTATTATCACTATTATATAACACTAACCTGTTTTCGGCTGGTTGATACTTCTACTTGTTTATATACCACCTGGTTTTCCACATGGTCTTAAGGAAGAGGACAACAGTTTTAGTGACTCGCCATTATGAACTGAAAGGCTCATATTCCCTATTGAACAAAAGGTTTTAAAATCTCCGTAAAGAAACCGGAAACAATTTCAAAATTTAAATGCTCGAAATAAATGACAGCAGTAGCGGATTAAGGGGTCCCCCCTTTGTACTATTGTGAGATATCGCTTTTTGGCTGACTGACCCTAAAATTTTTCTAAAGACGCTTTAGGCGCCAATATATACTAATTTTGAGGGGCGAGCGCGCGCCGAAAAATCGCGATTTTTTGGTCAATATTTTCCAAAAAGTGCCAAAAAAGGCCTTTCTTGGCCTGTTTTTTTTTTTAAAATTTGCCTGCGATGCAAAAAAATTTGGTCAAAATGGGTTTTTTTTAGTGATTTGGGAGGGCTCAGAAAATCGGACTAATAATAAATTTGGTCGAACTAAAAAAATTTAAGGTCGACATAATTTTCAATTTTTTTCTGAAAATCCGCCCCCCTCGAGAAAATCCTAGATCCTAGAGAAAATAAATAGAGATAAAAAATGAGGTGCCGAGTAAGGCGGTCATCGAGGTAAGGCGTTCATCATTCATTTTAAGACCGTCCGATTGTTAGTCCAGAATGTGGGAAATAATACAAAAGAACTATCCTTAAATATCTTTCGATATATTTTCAGCAAATCGCAGAAACCAAAACTATTAGTATAGCGAGTAACCAGGTTTTGCAGTCAAAGTTAAGATAAAACTGGAAAAAATAAGGTGAGTTTGGTTTTGAGAACTGAAAACTATTCCTGTTTTGAAGAGTTGGGGGAAAGGGGGAAGTATTGTTTTCACCTGAGCAGGTGGTCTCTCCTTCGAACCACTTCTGTTTGATCTTGTCCAGCTCCCCCGACTCCTGTAGTCTCAAAATGCTCATCGTGATCGTCTCCAGAAATGCAGTGCCCTTAGGTACGGCGAACGCGTAGTTCTTCCTATTGAACGGCTTCCCGACTGTTGTTAGGTGTTGACAGTGCAGTTTGCGCTGGTACTGCAACACCGGGTCGTCCCACAAGAACGCGTAATTTCCTGCCAGGAAAAATCCAACTCAAAAGACCATAGATTAAATTATTTATTACTACTTTTAATACAATTAATAATTTATTTGAAAAACGAATATAAAAGTTTGATACTATTTTCAAAAACCGTTTGAGATAAGTGGTTTGACGTCTTTGATATGCAAGGTTTTTGTTGCTGCGGACATTATGAACCTTTTAAACGTCATCAGTCGCATTTAAGTTTAAAGTATCAATTTTATCATTTTTTGACAGAAGCTTAATATGATTTTTCTTGTTTGTTTTCTATGTTAAAATTTTCCAAGAAATATTAGACAAGCAGAAACTTGTGAATTTTGGCAATTCGTATTACCTGAGTTTAACATAAAATGGCTCTTTTTTCTCTCCCGCTTTATTTTTATTACTCCCACTGGCAAATTCTTTTTCTTAGAACTTGGTCTCACAATTTCCGATTGTTGTTCAAATTGGCAAAAGGAATTTTTAGGTTTTTCCAAGCATGTTGGATATTCGTAAGAACCCTGTAAAATTACTAGTGCTACACCATAAAATAGGTTTCCATACAAAGCGCGGTGGTAGTGACTTAAATAGAACTAATTAAAATAAAGGCACTTATAGGGTATGAGGATGATAACTAGTGAATAATCTGGGAAAAGGGGTCATTCCCGTCACCTTCGAGTACTCTGTTGAACCCCTCGACCTCGTCCTTGACCATGGGGGAGGGTTCAGCAGAGTCCATGTAGTTCCAGATCTTCTCATACAGGGAGTCCACACTCGCCTGGCTGCGGAAGAACTCGGCCAGACTGCTGGGACTCACCTGAGGTCACAAAGAGACAATGAATCCGTCATTTCCACGAATCTCCAAGTTGGGATGCAAAATGATTTTAATAGGATAATTAGATCAGCGGGAACTGGGGAAAACAACGGGTAATTAAATTTAACAAATACAAGTTGAGGTCTGTGATTTGTTCTAGCATTTTATCATCCCCAAGCTGAGTTCGTTTTTTAAACTTTTAGTGAGAATTTTGTATGTTCTGCTCAAAGTGTTCTTTTTGCCATGGCTAATACCAATAAATAAGAAACAAAAATAATTGGAAATTGGAGCTTATGGTTTTTATTGCTATATAGGTAACTTCGAACAGAGTAACCACCGACGCTTGGTAGCCCAGGTCGAGGTCCGCGACTTAAGTCGCGACCCAAAACGGTCGTGCTGAATGGATGGCGCGACCAACACTTCGCTGTCGCACAGAAGTCATTGAGACGCGCTAAGTCACAACTTGATGAAACAGGTAGGGCGACCATTCGTAAGAGGCGACAATTCGTAAGAGTCGACAATTCGGAACAGGGGCAATTCCTAACAGGTGACAACTCTTTACAAGACATTGGCAAGTAGAATACACTTTCTCCTCCGCTGCGCTCACATCCGGCACGAGAGGAATATTGCGCATGAATCAGTATTCTCCGCTTAATCTACTTTTCCGAATGATCGCTTATTACGAACTGTAGCTTCAGACGAATTGTCGCCTGTTACGAATTGTCGCCTGTTACGAATTGTCGCCTGTTACGAATTGTCGCCTGTTACGAATTGTCGCCTGTTACGAATTGTCGCCTGTTACGAATTGTCGCCTGATACGAATTGTCGCCTGTTACGAATTGTCGCCTGTTACGAATTGTCGCCTGTTACGAATTGTCGCCTGATACGAATTGTCGCCTGTTACGAATTGCCGCCTGATACGAATTGCCGCCTGATACGAATTGTCGCCTGATACGAATTGTCGCCTGATACGAATTGTCGCCTGTTACGAATTGTCGCCTGATACGAATTGTCGCCTGTTACGAATTGCCGCCTGATACGAATTGCCGCCTGATACGAATTGTCGCCTGATACGAATTGTCGCCTGATACGAATTGTCGCCTGTTACGAATTGTCGCCTGTTACGAATTGTCGCCTGTTACGAATTGTCGCCTGTTACGAATTGTCGCCAGTTACGAATTGTCGCCTGTTACGAATTGTCGCCTGTTACGAATTTTCGCCTGTTACGAACTGTCGCCTGATACGAATTGTCGCCTGATACGAATTGTCGCCTGATACGAATTCTCGCCTGATACGAATTGTCGCCTGATACGAATTGTCGCCTGATACGAATTGTCGCCTGTTACGAATTGTCGCCTGTTACGAATTGTCGCCTGTTACGAATTGTCGCCTGTTACGAATTGTCGCCAGTTACGAATTGTCGCCTGTTACGAATTGTCGCCTGTTACGAATTTTCGCCTGTTACGAACTGTCGCCTGATACGAATTGTCGCCTGTTACGAATTGTCGCCTGATACGAATTGTCGCCTGTTACGAATTGTCGCCTGTTACGAATTGTCGCCTGTTACAAATTGTCGCCTGTTAAGAATTGTCCCCAGTTACGAATTGTCGTTTGTTACGAATTTTCGCCTGTTACGAACTGTCGCCTGATACGAATTGTCGCCTGATACGAATTGTCGCCTGTTACGAATTGTCGCCTGTTACGAATTGTCGCCTGTTACGAATTGTCGCCTGTTACGAATTGCCGCCTGATACGAATTGCCGCCTGATACGAATTGTCGCCTGATACGAATTGTCGCCTGATACGAATTGTCGCCTGTTACGAATTGTCGCCTGTTACGAATTGTCGCCTGATACGAATTGTCGCCTGTTACGAATTGTCGCCTGTTACGAATTGTCGCCTGTTACGAATTGTCGCCTGATACGAATTGTCGCCTGTTACGAATTGCCGCCTGATACGAATTGCCGCCTGATACGAATTGTCGCCTGATACGAATTGTCGCCTGATACGAATTGTCGCCTGTTACGAATTGTCGCCTGATACGAATTGTCGCCTGTTACGAATTGCCGCCTGATACGAATTGCCGCCTGATACGAATTGTCGCCTGATACGAATTGTCGCCTGATACGAATTGTCGCCTGTTACGAATTGTCGCCTGTTACGAATTGTCGCCTGTTACGAATTGTCGCCTGTTACGAATTGTCGCCAGTTACGAATTGTCGCCTGTTACGAATTGTCGCCTGTTACGAATTTTCGCCTGTTACGAACTGTCGCCTGATACGAATTGTCGCCTGATACGAATTGTCGCCTGATACGAATTCTCGCCTGACACGAATTGTCGCCTGTTACGAATTGTCGCCTGTTACGAATTGTCGCCTGATACGAATTGTCGCCTGATACGAATTGTCGCCTGTTACGAATTGTCGCCTGATACGAATTGTCGCCTGTTACGAATTGTCGCCTGTTACGAATTGTCGCCTGTTACAAATTGTCGCCTGTTAAGAATTGTCCCCAGTTACGAATTGTCGTTTGTTACGAGATGTCGCCTGTTACGAATTTTCGCCTGTTACGAGTTAATGCCTTACGGATGAAACCATGTACTCACAGTCCCATAGGGTACTTTGGTCTGCTCTGCCAAGTCCTCCAGACTCTCAATTGGGGTCTCCATTCTGGTCACTGTCAGGAACGCGGCCAGATTGGCTGTGTAGGTGGCGATGATGATGAGTGTGAAGAACCACCAGAATGTTCCCAGAATACGACCAGAGATGGAGAGCGGTGTGGCATCCCCACCCTAAAAATATACTACAAAACTACAAACATCTCGTATCGTATTCAATTTCAGACAATTCAGCCGAGGACAATTCAGTCAATTTTAAATTCAGACAGTAAAGCAAACTAAATTCTCATTTATATTCTCATTATATATATATACTTTATGGTAATTTAGCGATCGAAAACTGTCACCTCCAAAACTGCATAAAAGATATGCTGAAATATAACGAGAGAATACAAAGCAAAAAAGAACTTATACTTGCTTTTGAAATATAAATAAATATTACATTAAAATTGACGAAAGAAAGATGCTTGTTTTTGGGAGATGTTCTTAAGACTTTATGACATCACTAGCTACTGCTCGGAAGTACCAAAGTGAGCTGCTCGGAACATTCTATTTTGTATAACTTGCAATAAACTCTCGAAAAACAAGTGCTGGTAGTATTATTTGGCTATTTTTCAGCAAATTAAAAAAAAACAGTCTCAAAAGATTTCTGCAAAACAAAAATGATGTAAGGCAACTTAAATCAGCAATATAGCTATTAAATCATTAGCAACTGGTTGAGAGATGGTGCTTGCCTGTTGCATGAGTGATGCTAGGGCGAACCACATGGAGTTGTTGAAGCTGAACTCGTCTGTGCCGAGTATGTTGAATCGTGAGAAGGGGGAGAGACGAGAGAGAACGAACAGCATCAGACCCACCCCGAAAGTGGCCACAGATATACAGATCCACACCTACAAAGAAGGCAAATTCTTGTTCACATTTATTGCTTCCTTGTTCCCCCGTTTAATAATCATCTATCCATTTGTTGCGAGTTGTACCGAAACTATTAGTATCAAAATAGATTGTCAATTATCAACACTTTAGTCCTGACAACTGATCTTAAATCAATTAGGGTTAAATGGAAAAAAATGAGCAGTAAGATTGATGGGGGGGGGGGGGGGAGAGAAGGTGTAAAAACAAATAGCTCTTTGTATATCTGAAATAACAGACCTGCACTGTGAGTGGTTCGAGGAATCCAAAGATGCTGGTCGTCTTTTTCGGCCGAGGGATCAGAATTGACACTCCGTAGTCCATATATGAAGCTAAGAAAAACAAAAGGTGTCAAAAGGGATATCATTGCTGGTGACCTTTTAACCTTTGAGTTTACATTTAACTATGCTTGCGTTTATTATTTAATACCTGCCAACAGCGCAACGGCTTTTGGAATAGCTGACGTTGGTCATTAATCTTTTTGAACGCAACCAATTCTGTTAACTTAACCAATTCTTAATTCAATCTTTTACTCTGTCTATTACCTTAGCGTAAACTTACCTCTTTGTATTTTAATTTAGTCTTGGACAAAAGTCTACTACTCGATAGAAGCGATCTTAACCTATCACGTCTTAAACTAGTCTTAGTTTAAGTTAGCCTGTTTCATCCTAACCCACCGTCCTAACATAACTTTTTACCATGGCGCAGTCGATTGCGTCGATCCTACGAGGCCTAGAGTTTTTCTGGAACAACGCATCAAGTGAAAATCAACATGATTGGGAAAACGGTCAGAAAAGTTGAAATTAACTATTATTGGTAAAAAATCTGTGGGTATCGAAGACGTAATCAACCCTCCGATAAGGTTCGAACTAACATATCCGATCGCAGAAACAGCGGAACCTTCCGATGACCAACCCCATCGGGCCGAAAAAGATGTACGTCACCGATTAGCGCTTCAAGCCTACAATGCAAAGGTGAGAAGGAGAAAAGCAGAAGACAACGCGAAATTTAACGGACTTCAAATCGGCGATATCGACAAGAAGTTGAGATCCCAACTATACCTGGCACTTGGAAGAGAAGGGCACAAATGTTTTTCACACAAAAACCCTGGGAAAAAAATACTGGACATTGATTTCGAAGAACTTTGGGAGCTACTTAAAACTACATTCACGGTATCTACAAACTTAACCCAAGAAAGATATAAATTTTTCGGCCGAAGACAGAAAAATCATGAGTTACTAGAAAAGTTCCACGAAACATTTTCGGAATTGGCAAACTGGGCGAACTCGAGGCGGAACTAGTTAGAGATATTTTTATCACAAATATGCGAAAAGTTGAGATTCAAAAGAAAGTATGCATCGAGTTGTTGACCCCAGAAAACGTGTTCGAATCAGGCAGACAATTTGACCAGGACTTAGACACACCACTTCAATCTGAGTTCAAATTGTATATATCAGGCCGATTTCCCGACCTCAAAAATAGAACCGGTAGATCAAAAAATTTTACCGTTAACACCTATTTTAACGAATCCATAAAGCCGATACAGGTAAAAGGGAAATGTATACTGATTCATCTACTTTCTAAGTTGAAATTATGTATCGATCATTTACTTAGAGATGGTCACATTGAAAAATTGTCCAGATGTTCGGAATATTGTTTTATCTCCCCTATCGTTATCACAGCTAAAAGGGGTGGATCAATCAAACTGGCGTTAAATTCAAAACTACTGAACAAACAGATATTTCGTAACAGATATCAAATGCTCAATCTATTTGAATTAATCCACAATGTTGCGGTAAAAATTAGCGGACATGACGAAAACAAAATTTGGTTCTCATCTATTGACTTAAAATATGCATACAGTCAGATACCATTATCCGGAAAAGCAAGTAACCAGTGCAATTTTATTATCGTGGGGGAGATGTCAAAGGCTCATGTCGTTTTAAAACTGGACTTTACGGACTATGCGATATGCCTAATGAATTTCAACGTATCATGGACCGTATGACAGAAAAGCTACTTAAGACACATTGTTATCTAGACGATATCTTAATTGCTACCGTGGGCAGCGTAGAAGAACATCGTAAATTAGTTATAAACGTTTCAAAAACGTTGGATGACGAAAGATTAGCCATAAAATGGGAAAAGTGTACGTTTTGACGCACAATATAGAATGGCTAGGATTCAAAATTGACGCGAAAGGAACGACTCCATTAATACACAAATCAGACGCAATCAGAAGTTCGAAAGAACCATGTTGCATTGAAGACGTAAGATCGCAAATGGGATCAATTAACCAATTTAATCAATTCATCCCAAATTTAGCATCACTATCAGCACCGTTTAGAGAGCTTATGCAGAAGAATAAACAATCTAACTGGTCCGCGGAGTCGAGGCGTTCGAAAAAATCATGAAAGAATTATTTAATACAGTGACAAACCACCACTTCGATGTAAATTTAAATACAAGAGTTCTGTGCGATGAATCACAATTAGGACTAGGCGCATCCGTCGAGCAAGACCATGGGAGAACTTGGAAGACGGCAGCGTTTGCGAGTAGATTTCTTAATATAGCCGAACTAAAATACAGCACGAATGAACTTGAATTGTTGGGCTTAGTTTGGGCACCACATCATTTTAAGAACTATTTATTGGGGAAACAGTTCTCTTTTTAACCGACCACAAAGCCTTAATTGGAGCGTTAAAAGATGATAAATGCACAAAAATGGCTCAATCTCACCTCACCCGTTGGGCGGAAAAACTCCCTCCATTGGAATTTACCGTTGAACATCTCCCGGGTAAGGTAATGGGATTTGTTTACTACCTTTCTAGAAACCCATCGGGTGAACCCGTACCAGTATCGCTCGACGACGAAAAATTTGTCATCGCCCCGGTATATAAAATCAGTACGCTCCTAGGTTTTGAACATCTGATGCCTAGATATTCTTGGCCGCAAATGAAGAACAAATTTTCACAAATTTTTAAAAGCAATTGAAGAAGACAGAAAACAGGACATCACACAACTGGGAATCTATTATAAACCGTACATCAACAACCTGCACGTCAATAGAGGATGCCTTTAAATCGACGATAGACTAGTCCTACCAGCATGTATGAGGTCGACAGTGCTACATAGATTACACGAAGCTTACCCACGCCAGTTCGCGATGAAAAGTATGGCAACTCTCTTCATCTGGTAGCCTAAAATCTATCGAGAAATACAAGTCCACGGAGAAAATTGCATCGAGTGTGTGAAAGCAGGTAAAAACTTGAAGCCTCTGGCAAAATATGATAAACTAAGAAAACTCCCAACGGTCGTGGTACCAAATCAAGAAATGGAATTGGACTTTGCCGGTCCGCTACCGTTAACGTGGGAAACAAAAATATATATACTGGTATGCGTTGATCGATTTTCAAAATTCCCATCTGTAAAAATAACATCCAGCACATCGACTAAATGAATTATAAACTTTCTCAGAAAATACATAGCTTTACACGGAATACCTAGAACGATTAGAACGGACCAAGGGTCCGGCTTTATCTCTAAGGAAATCCGAGAATTTTGTTAAGAACAAAATATCAACGTAATATTCAGCGCAGTGGGTGACCATAGAGCTAAAGGTCTGGTCGAGCAACTAATTAGAACAATTAAACAACAACTTTTGGTCATGGCACAAGAAAATCCGAAACCCTCGTTAGAAATCGCATTACTAAAGATCATAAAATGCTTAAGAACGGTAACGCAACAATCACTAAATTGCTCTCCTTTTGAGGCATACTTTGGTAGGTCACCAAATACGATTTGGTATAAATTAGTCAAACTGGCGTCGTCAAGGAACTAGATTGGAATAAAACATTGTCATGCATAGATGAAGGACAAAAACTAATGTGCCGGGACAGAAGACATGACTGGAATACCCCTGATGACTTTGAACACGGATACCTGGACGAAGACTCATTTTCATCGGACGATATATCTAACGCAGTTAGATATGTACCCACTAGCTCTGGTTTCCCGGTCAAGGTCCTTTCTCGCGCTGAGAAAAGAGAAGCTCTAGGCTTAGAAAGTTCCGTTCTGAGTAACCCGTCGGGTAAGATTTTTATTTAAAGAAAAGTACAAGATAGAAAGAAGAAAGAACCATTCTAAAAAGAACTTAAGGAGGAAATAGTAAGTGAATCAGATCATACAATTACGCTCAAAAATGGTAAAATAATACGTGAGACTGATTTAGCTATGAAAAGACAATCTGCTCCGAAGAAGATTAGCCCTCGAAAGAAAAACCAATTAGTGAAATTTTATGTCACCAAAAGACTCAAGAAGACCTCAAAACCACCGAGAAATGTTGGATTTAAGAGTTCAAAGTCGAAACAGAAGAAAAGAAATTTACAAGCGAAATTCGAAGTCTTAGACATTGCAAGACGGAACGCCGCAATGAACAGTTCAAGAGAAACACTTCTGAGAGAGGAGGAGGAGGAGAAAAAAAACGCTTAAGGTACCCCAGTGGTCTTGAAAGCATGCCTGAGGCAAGCCTGCCGGGACAACCCACCTGCCTGCGAAACAACACACCAGAACGAAAAACGATGAACCCACCTGCCAAAATACTATCTGACGACCAGTCCAGCGATTTAATTCTATTGAAAGATCTAAAACCACAAACTTTTATGAACCCTGAAAAACGACAAGATAATCTAACACAAGAACAAATGGAAATCAAACAAAAAATGCCTAGAAAAGATGAAACCGACTTAGAAAAGGAGAGAGAAGTTTACCATTCACTGATTGACTTAGACTCAGCAGAGAACAATCAAGACCAAAACACAAACCCACCACTTATCCATTTAGACAGCTATGAGGAAGGCGACATAAGCAATGCAGAAACAACCAATACAAGACAAAATCCAGAAGTAAAAAGTCAACTAACTTTTCAGAACACGGAGCTGGTCACAAAGATGAATAAAGGAGAACAGACAAAGGACGTAACCACTATTAAGAACCTCACCAAATTAACGGGTGCGGCTGACCGGAAGGCCTTTTCGCCAATGAAATTATCGCCTAGAAAACTGTCAGACACATATTCTCGTCACAACACCAGACCAATTCGGACCAGACAACCTCCAATGTTACTCGTAGAGAGAATATTCACTAGCTTGGTAGAAACCGCGGACGACAGGCCAGGAGAACATAAGTCGACCCGAGTCTCGACCCCACCATATACTGCTTCGACAGAAGCAATCACCATGGAACTTGAAAGCCACCAGATGGACATTGTAGATTTAACCTCTCCGTCAACTTCTTCGTCACGACACCCGATCATAGTCAATCTCTCTGAAAGTGGATCTGAACAAACAGGCAACGTAAAGCCATCAATATCGCTTTCCCCAATCGGCTCCCCCAAGAAAGTACAATTTAGATCGGATGTACATAAATCTGAATTTTACCCATCGGGCCTACCCTCCGAACCGGCAGACGCTATATTGACACCAATTGTGTTTAATCCCGATTGGCTTAATACCAATTCTATTATCTCCGCGATGGAACTATTGAGCCGACCTATGACGCTTGACGAGGTTAGGAGATGGACGGTTAACCAAAATTCAAGTCGTGATGCCGCTTAGACTTCACACAATCTGGATCTTTCATTTCTTTTAACAAGAAAAAATAAATAAAAAACTTAAATTCTCTTATGTTAATCTCTCGTTTTTTCATATATCTGTAACTCTAGATTATTTTCCTGAAGCTATCTCATTTGCTAAGGTAGTGCTTCATCCTGATTAGCCACTATCATACTATTTGTTGCTAACTTTACTTTTGTTGCTAAATTCTAGTTGTTGCTAACTTTACTTTTGAGTTCATCTAGCCATTTGTTATACATCGAATTAAGGGCTAGGATTAGTATTCTTCCCATCGGGTGACAACCTGTGATTTTTCCCGTTTCGTTGCCCCGTTAATTCATCCCTGTGCTTGAACATACTACTTGTTGGTGAAAAGTATATGGAATAACTCAAGTAAATTTTCGCGGGGAAAGTAAAACGGGGTGTCATTGCTGGTGACCTTTTAACCTCTAAGTTTACAATTAACTATACTTACGCTTATTTTTTAATACCTGCCAAAAGCGCAACGGCTTTTGTAATAGCTGACGTTGGTCATTAACCTTTTCGAACACAACCAATTCTGTTAACTTAACCAATTCTTAAATCAATCTTTTTCTCTGTCTATTACCTTAGCGTAAGCTTACCTCTTCGTCTTTTAATCCAGTCTTAGATAAAAGTCTACTACTTGATGGTATAGATCTTAACCTATCACGTTTTAAACTAGTCTTAGTTTAAGTTAGCCTGTTTCATCCTAATCCACCGTCTTAACATAACTTTGTAACAAAAGGTTGTCAATCATTCGTATTATATCTTTTTTATCAGGAGCATGAAAAGCATCTGAATATTGAAGTTATAGATTGAATAAGTAAAGTGAAACAAAGACAGAGTTCAGGTCTATATAACAGTTCTAGCAGAGTGATTGTGAAGTGGCAAAAGTTTCCACTCCTAAATCGAACGGTCAGTGCTTTGAGGTTCATCATGATTGATTCTCTCAATCTAAGAGCGATGCAACTTTTTTCAGCCAGGAAAAATAGCCGAAAATTTTGCATGTTGTTTTTAACCAGGGCACAGCAGCGATTGTTTGCAAAGCGCTGAACAGCTCGTATGTTACTCAGATAGTGTAACGTTTTAAGTTCTTCATAATTTAATGTATTAATTTAATTATGCCAAATAATTCTTTAAGAAATGATAGTCATAAAATTTTCATTGATGTAAATTGTATGATAAGCATTTTTCCATAGATTCAATGCATGGAATTGTATGACACATGACAAGCATTTTAGTCTATGGAGATCAACCCAGGTTACCTTGTGGACATATGGCCTTCCCTATACTAAAATACATACCCGTGAAGTCGACGACCAGTTCCCTGTCGTAGTTCCTGATCATGCCTGCTACTGCCATGTCTGCCCTCTTGTATAATACATCACCCACCAGCCCAGTCCATCTTCCCCCTCCCCCACCGCCACTCCCCTGGTTGTCCAGGGTGCCGTACTGGTTATCGGCCACCTACAACTCAAGGCAAGTTTTGGAAGGTCTGATTAGACTAAGGTCATTCATCTGTCAAAATGACCTTTTGATAGTGGAAATAGATGGAAAATTGTTGAGCAGTCAGTCAATCAGCAAGCTGTCATCGGCTTAAGCTTCAAAGTTGGGGTTTGCTTTAGGTTTAAATTATATGTATGTGATATTGCTCTTAACTTAGCTTCCTAGATTGGATAATTTCAACCTTGAAATGCTCACTGTTTACGTTTACAATCCGAAACTTATCCGAGTCGTTATTTTCAAACTTTCTTGTTTCAAAATCATTGAGTCTGAAGACTGATGTGTACCTCATATATCTCATATCGGAATGTCTCCTCTTTGAGGTCCTTCTGAATGGCTCTGAGGATGTCAATGCAACATCCCTCGTAATGCACCTTCCCATCTTGACTCACCTGAAAAGGGCCCTTATAATAGCCATACCACTTTCTGACCACAATCATTGGCAGTGGAGCATGTGGAGCAAATTGGGGGCTATTCTCATTATGGAGCGACCGAATGAGAATGGAAAGTTTTCTTTAAATCGGAATCAGTAGAAGTTCCTGTTCGCTGAATGGTTTTTACACTGAACCGAAGTCCAAATTAGCAGAAATTGAAATAAAGCATGCGCAGTCCGTGCCGAGAAAAATTAGTTTGGTGTTTTGTTTTTTCAATTTTTTTTTGAAAATTGGATCAGTGAAGTTTTTCTAAGGTGTCTGTGATCTGGTAAAACTTGAAATGCCATGTATCTGTAATCTGTGTTTTTTCTAATCGATCAAATTTGATGTTGCTGGCCTGGATTTATTCGTTTTTTTTCGAAGTTCAGAATTATTTGAGATTTTTGATGGTGGAATCCCTCATGCGCGAAGGACCGAATGCGCGAAAATACAAATCAGCCAATCAAATTTCAGTAATCTAAAATTTGGAAAGAAAGTAAACATTTCCATGGACTGGAGTATTGATGGTAGCCGAATATAAAAACTATGCTGAAATATGCAAAATTTTCAAATTGTCATTGACAGCCGCAAAATTGGGACAAATTTTACATTTCAAGGGTTTCGTAATGAAAGAAGCAAAATATTGCTTCATTTAATTCATTTTAAATGATTGACAATTGTTTTTTTTTAAAAACTGACTTTCGGCTAATTTTGTTTTCGGTCCTTGTTTCACAAGTTTTTTCGCCCATTCGATCCTTCGCACATGAGAACAACCCCCATTTTTGATTGCTCATTTGAGATTGCTGAAAATAACAGAGTAATTGTCCAACATTCGATTCCTTCATCATGAGGGACACCACCGATCAAATTTGAAGCAGTGTATTCATTTGCTTTCAAGCAAGACATTAAATGAGGACTGTAGTGATTACTTATGTCATTCCATTGCTACATACAAAATACACGTAATATTATTCAAACATCATATCAACGGTAAAATAGTGACCGCTGCAGTCGCGCCAGCGTGGTGCGAGCTTGCCAACAGAGGGTAGGACAACGAAAATTGGAGCCGGTTATCGCGTAGCGCGCCCACCGACGAGCTTGAACCGACTAGCGGCTTTGTAGTTTTTAACCGCTTCTTGTCAATGTCGTCTGGAGATTAAGGGGGATTTTTGATAAAATATACACTTTTGTTATCAAAAATTTTGCCTAAACTTAACACTTTTATTGTCGCCCAATATAGTTTTCGCCTAATATATACAGCCCCTGATACAGCGAATGGGGCTGTATATATTAGGCGAAAGTAAAAGTGTTAAGTTTAGACGAAAAGCATGTCCATGTCAAACAATGTAGTTAGAATATTCGCTAATTCACAATTTGTTTACTCAAATTTGCTATTTTGAACAGCGTGCACTTGGCCAAATTTTTAACTAGGCGACAGGCCCTTAAACTCCCCAAAAAATCAAGTAGTTTTTTTTAGTTAATTGAAAATTTAGGCTAGTTTGTTTTTCGTCTGAAAACACACCCGGTTAAAGAAAATAACGAATGCTTTTAGGTTCACATGCTAATCGATACGCGTACAAATTATAGTCCAGTTCCCGGGTTAATATCCTTGAATGGGGGCTATTCTCATGATGGAGGGACCAAATGAAACTTTCAACCAATCAATATAGTTTCTATTCGATGAATAAATTTTTGCACTGAATCGAAAAGAATTAGCACAAATTTGGGATCAATTGAGCAATCTCCCCCCCCCCCCCCCCCCCCGGAATGACCAATTGAGCTATCTCCCCCAGCAAAAACGAAAAAAAAACTCAACAAAAAGACGTCAGCAAACGCAAGTAGATGGATGATGTGTTTACAGCACGCAATCAATTAACCGACTGACGTTTATTTCTTATGAGTATCGAAAAAAAATTTTCAAAAAAAAATCGAAATTTACGAAATTTTTTTTTTGCAATTTTTTGTTTTAGGGACCATAGCCTCATCGAGAAAGCGATTTACCAGGGTTGGTGCTCCAGTCTTGTATCAGAATAGCAAAAAAGGTTCTCCGCAGCACCTTATTATTGTACGCTAAAGCTTTTTGTCTTTTTAAGAAAGAGAAAAAATCGCTTTTTATGCCTATTTTATTGATTCTTTTTTCAATCTGAATGAAACTTTTGAGCTTTGATATTGTAGATTTTGGCTTTACACAGTCGTTGAAAAATAAGTTTTATGATTTCATGTCATTCAAACTATTTTCAAGTGGTTATAAACATGTCTCAAGTACCTATTGATCTATCTCCCCCCCGCGCGAGATTGGGGGGGGGGGGGGGAGAGATTGCTCAATTGATCCCAAATTTGAATTATAGCTTGGCTTGCACAGTGTGTGCAGATTCAATATTTTTTTGTATTTTTCAATTTTTGTTAAATCGGTATCTAAAAAAATCTATTTTCGATCTGGTAATGTTTGAAAATTCAGAAATTTATGTAAATTCAGATAACTGCGTTCTGATTATTTTAAGGTCGGTCAGTATCAAATTTTTGACCTAGATTCTTTAGCTAATTTAGAGTTTTTCGCGATTTCTGTGAGGTTGTTGAATACTGAATTCCGATTGGTTTAAAATAACTTTAAATTAATTTTTAATATTCAGTCCTTCCGTCATGAGGGACAACGCCTCCTTGTTCACTCTATGCTTTAGATTGAAGAGGTAATTAGAGGTCCAAAAAATAACAAACGAAGACATTAACAGCGGAACGCCTGAAAGAAATTAAAAGCTTAACTGTCTAGCATTTACAATCGCTGATAAACTTTCCTAATGTTCATATTTAACCAACGATATAGCCATTCAGCTTTGTTCATTATCTCCGTATAATAAGTATCTTATTAAGGCCATAGGTCGGTGGTGATGCTCCCCCCTCAAAATTAGTATATAGTTTAAAAAAAATTAGAAAAGTTTTAGGACGTTCACTTTTATAATACTACCGCAGGGGGGACCTTTTGGGTCGTCATGGGTTGAATCCCTGTGAGAACGGGGTTCAACTCCTCTCCCCTCCCTAAATCGGCTAATAATCACTACTACTACTACTACTACCTAAATCCTAAAACTGACCTTTTTAATGACAAATGGATGCTCCTCAATTGTCACAATTCGCAAAGTAGCGTCGGCAAGATTCTTGAAACTGACTTCAAACGGTTTCTCAGTCGACAAATTCAACGCATAGCCATACCACTTTCTACCCACAAGCTGCCAAGTGAGAGTACTCGCTCCTGCATTCCTATTGGCTGAGCTCCTGTTCCAAGATCGTGATTGGCTAGCTGAATTATCGGACCGACCAATCGGGTAGCTGCTTCTGAATAGGTTCAGAGACAGGTGGTCGATGAAAGAGTTTGTCCGTGCATTCAGCTCAATAAACCCTAAAATGATAAAATGATCAGCAGCATTTCCGAATGATGTAAATTTGACCAATACGAAGAATGGAAGAGAACTCGTAGCCATGGTCGAGTTTTTTTCAGGCTATTTCATTTATCGCAAAAAAAAACGCGTAGACGTGATGTGTGATCTCATTTTAAATCTTTTCCACCTCGCAAACATAACAAGGGCAGCCAATTCAAAACTTATGAAAAAATTTCCAAATTCTTATAAATTTTATGAAAGATAAAAATCTCATTTTCAAAGCCTTTTTCAGTTTTTTAAAAGATGTTCTTTAAATTTTTTCTAAGGTTTTTCTCAACGGATCGAAAACCATCGGATAAGAAGCGACAAAAATGAAGCGGTGTAGCTAAAAAAAGTGTTACAAAAGCAGCTGAGTTAGAAAGTTAAGTCTCCTCCGTGTTGATTAGTCTGAAAAAGGAAAACACTCATCAATTTTTCTTGACACCAAAACACATTGAAATTTATAACTTTTATTCTTCAGCCAAAATTTATAACCATTGTTCCGACTTCCGAAGAAAGTGAGTATTGTATTTGCTCGGGGTGGTTGTTTTATTCAGACCATTTTTATAAATTTCTGTTCCCTCAGGGAATCGCTCTTTTGATCTGCATGCTTCCAGCCAGTGCGCACACCACTATTACACTATTACACTTACCATGATTACATTAACACTGCTTGTCGTTCCGGCTTTCGTAACGAAACTAACCGAATATTTGTGCTCGGGTGGTTTTTATTCTTCGGACAAATTTCGACTTTTTAACTAGCCATTTTTAACTAGTCACAGAATTTATTTATATCATTCATACGGTATTGTTGTCCTGATCTTAATTTTTAAAAAATAGTTCACCTGTGCCATTTAAGCCATTTTGGGACAATTAACGCGCAACTTAATCGCGCTATTAATGCGTGAGCGCAGATTTAATATATCTTAGAAATTTTCCCAAATTGGTTGAAGGAAGCTTATTTGTCATAATTGATTTGTTACTAGAAGCGAAATCCATCACTTTGAACTTTAAATGGCGTGTGGGGGGATGATTTTCCCTGAAATCTCAAATTTTAGTTGTTCCGGCTTTCGAAGAAAATGGAATATTTATGCTCGGTGTGGTTTCTTTTATCCAGTCAACTTTCGCCGATCGAAATAATAGTTTTCAACAAATTTTTTTTATATCCCATTGAAAATATTGACTTTCTGAGTTAAAATATAAAAAGATATTCTACCGATTATTTTTCGTAAAGTTCTAGAGGTTTGAAAATTGCCAAACTGGCCATTTTATGACCTAAATTATTCGCGCTTTGAAGAACTTATTCATCATAATGAGAGCGTAACAATAAGAGCGTAATGTTAAGAGCTTAAACATTCATTCGTGGCAATTTACCTTGCACAACCAAATCGTTCCAAATTGAATTGAGGCAGGCTAATCGGTCGTATTAATTTCATACGAATCGAAATTTCACACTTTCATTTTGTCCAAAATTTATAGGTTTTCAATATTTTTTTCCCAAAAACTATTCGATATGGGCAGTCGAAACACTCAGGGCTTTGCTCTGATATACAAGCAGTCTTACTTTTTTTTCATTTCATTTTGCCACATTTGAAATTTTGATGATATTACTGCTCCATAGATTTTAAAAGGCAGTCGCAAAATTCAGGGTTTCGCCCTGATACGAGCAGACTTGTTTCATTATCTCGCGCTACAAAATTGTTCCGAATTGACTTGAGGCAGCTAATTGGTTTTAGTAACTCAAATCATTCACGACTCAAATTGCAACACTTAACTTTTGATATTATCAGCCTAAAGTTCATAGTTTTGCCATTATTTAACTTACCAAAAACTATCCGGGTCCAATTAAATGGCAGTCGGAATTTTCGGGGCTTTGCCCTGATACGAGCAGTTTTGTTTGTATTGTTTTTGAAAATTGAAAAATAAACAATGGGGTTTCACATGACACCACACTGGCACCCTGAAAAGCCTTCAGAGTGCCATCTCAAAGAAGGAAAAAAAACCTTTTTCCTGAAAACAAAGCAAAAAAATCATCTCGACCTAAACGCGTGTCCTGACTGAGTACATTTTTTTCCTTAGTTTTATTTGCATAGCTTTATTTGAGTTTATAATTCTTGATGTTTTTTAATGGAAATCTTTGGTCTCTCACGCAATTAGTTTAGATAAGGGGAAATCAATCTTAACGAAGGACAGAGCACAGGACTGGGGGGCCGATGACGCGTTCGAAGATGGCTACCTGGAAGACAGAACAATTGAGGAGAGAGGCTATGAGAGCGACCCTGCTGACAAAGTAGATAGAAATCTTCAGCGAGCCCCACTGTCAAATCCTTTCAGCCAAGGAGGTAACTGGTTTAGGAAAACAGTTAACAGGATGGAAGGAGAACCTTATTTTAAACCACTGGGGAGTAAACCTTTGTCAGACACGAGACATACGGTCACATTAGATAACGGACATGTGATAAGAAAATCTGACTTAGCTTTTAACAAAACCCAACCGGCAGCTCCTAAGACCTTCTCGGCAAGACCGAAAGCACTAATCAATAGTAATGATTTAGCAGGCAAACGAAAAAGAAACTCCCCTTCCAAGAGACGAGACTCAAATATAGGAGGCCCTTCGATGACTTACACACCAACGGGTGGAAATTCAAGCAAAAAGAGGAGAACATTCATCACGACCTCGAAAGGTTCAAAATTCGACTTTAATAATCTAGATTCGTCGTTAGCGTTAGACCTTTGGGATAAAGTCATTGACGACTACTTGGGTACGGAAGCGGAAACTGTATATAATACACCGACTGTTAACCTTCATAGTGATTTAGATCAACCAAGGAGTACCGTAACAAGCCAGACAAATACGCAGACAACAGTCATTTTACCAACGGGAACAGTTGACGACCCAATTCGAGTGGATAGTTCTCTGGAGAAGTCAGTGGAAACATCAAAGAGCCCGAAACCCGCAAAACTTCGTGTAAGAAGAAATCCAGGCCCCCCGAAATTCTATGGCGATAGACGGTTTATCGTCAAGTGACGCTCGGTACGGAGACAATTAGTGCAGTAGACTCCGATGACGAACCGCTTATTACGTTTTCCGGTGCAAAGAGTCCAAAACAAAATCCTTCATTCTGTACGACGTCCCCCTCGGATTATCTTACACCCATTGATGAGATCCCACGTCATACGATTTTGGTTGCTGAAACCACACAAGACGATCTCTCAACACCTTCCTCTCAGGCGACAAGGACCGCATGGGTATCGCCACCATTGGTAGAAGTGACCAGTAATACTCAGGATGACATCGATAGCGACATATACTCGGGCATTGATACCGATGTAAGAATAGAGGCAGATAATTTGCATACTAGATACAACTCTACGGTCTCAAACTCTGAAAACTTTTAAGCTGTGGTAACACGACATGTTACGTATTTGATTTAACTTTTATCCATTGGATTACCCAGAATTTTTTTATTTACCTAGTTAGTGAGTTAGTTAGTTGGCTTTAATTGTACAAATGCTACATAACCCCAATTGTACATAACATTTTGTACATTCAGTGTTGATATCTGTGTAAACCTGTAAGTAGCCTGTATATATTACCATATAATTACCTCCATTGTAATTTGTACTCTCTGTAAAAATCCATTGGTGCTAAATGCGGTTACGTTTTGTTTCTTCTTTGGCCCTGGTGGAGCGAGGGGAGATGGAGTATATGTGTGATATTGGCTACATCGTTGAGCGGGCAGATATTAATTTTTGTGCACTGGGGAATGTTGTGATTCAGTATTTTTAGTATGTTATAACCTTGACCTCTATTATCTAATTACGTACCAGTCAATGTTAACTCTACGAAGTCCAGTGGACTTCGACTCACTAGTTGCTCTTTTTAGACTACAGTCAGTTTTAATTCAACCAATACTTTTATTCTCTTTTAACCTTAGCTAGATACAATAGTTACCAGTGGTACATCTTAACTCTTTATTATGGCGCAGTCAACAACTGATTCGAACCTGAGGGGAATACTCGCCTTTTGGCCGAACCACACGGTAGAACCCCCCACCCAATGGAACAATTGGATAGACCAATTCCATTTGGCCATTATCGCGAAGGAAAATCTAGACTAAGATAACCTCAAAGAACCAATGGAAGGGGAGACGACGTTACCGATCCTAGAAGGTGCCCAAGAGTCAGAAACTGACCAACAGAGGAAAACCAGGGAGGCCAGGAATAAAGAAACAATGCGAGTCTACGAACACGCTGAAGAGAAAAGACTAGCAGAAGAAAAAAGGAAATGAGGAGATATGAGGCCGATAAAAAAGTAAGGTCAATCCTATACTTGGCCTTAGGAGCGGAAGGCAAAAGAGTTTTCGTCCAGAAACATCCAAGGGTAAAAATCCTAGGAATGTCATTCAAGGAATTTTACGAAATGCTAGAATTGGCTTTTATCAAACCAACCAACATAACATTTGAACGTTACAAACTATTGAGCAGGAAACAAAAGAATAGAGAATCCTATGAACAGTGTCGTTGAAGCTTTTCTGAGAGTATTTTAATGTGACGGGACATTGGGCAGCTTCTGAAAATAGTTTAGATTGTCAGATTGTCTAAATTTAGCAACACGAAGTAATAAACCAGAGCTCAATGGCGGATATAATCTCTTTTCAAGAAGGAGCTTCAAACTATGCTCTAGAATTTCAAAGACCCCCTGTTTGGTTTGACAAGATTCTGGACCACTCATAGCATGAAATTACTAATTTTAAACGTCTTTGAGGGCACCAAAAGCAAGAATTGTGGGTTGCGTGGCCTAAAAAGGATGTACTAGAATGGTAGCAAATGGGAACTATGTGAAAAAGAGGGTTTCAAATTCATGTTCTGTCAATTTTCTCCGATAGAAGTTTTTCTAAGTTTTGGTTGAATTTTAATTGTTTTCATCGTTAACTTCTGTTTTAGAAAATGAAAAATGAGTGTAAATGTTTATAAAACC